CCCGGCAATGCCTGCGGCCACGCCCCCCACTGGGAGCTAGTTTACCTGGGGCGGGACGAGCCGCCTCCTCCTTGCAGCCTCAGCCTGGACGTCCTACGCAGTTTGGCCGCGGGTGGACACCACGGGGACTCGCGTCCTGCCTTCGGAGGTCGTTATACAGGGTTACAAAGGCCACGACCAAGGCCATTCTTAGTTCTTCCCTGGTTTGCCCCTCTTTGCGGTGCTGGCCGCACTGCCAGCGCACTTATGACCTGCCGAGCCCAGGGTCCACGCCTGATCGGCTCAGGGACGCTGTTGGGGAGTCGGCGCCCTGGGGCTCCGGATCCACTTCAGTCTCGTCACACCTGTGACTTGCCCTTGGCCGGACAGGCACTGTCTCTCGCTCGGGGGATGGTGAGACGTTCACGTGGTCGCCTTGCTCCCGCAGTCATGCAGTTGTGTGAAAACAAAGATTGGAATCACGAGATCCGGCTTGTCGCCCCATTTATGGCGCAGAACTACAGGATGGCAGTGGGTCATTAACTTCGCCACAGCAGACCTCCGTTTTCTGCGTCGGGGCTGTAGCGCAGAGGAAAGGACGCTGCTTCAGATTCAAATTCTGACTCCTTGGCGCAGTGTGTCACCTTGAGCAAACCACATCTCTCTGAGTTCTCACGAATAAACCTTAACGGTACCTACCTTTTGGTAGGAATTATGAGTGAACGTGTGAATGTGACAAGTGCCCATTAGGTAGTCAGGAAATTATCATGTTCATTTTGTTTTTTCCACGAATATGCCTTTTTTAGGAAATAGAACGGGATTTAAGTAGAGATTCTCTTTGCATCCTGAAAACTTTTCTTATCCATTTCAGATAGTTTGATGTCTGATCCCGTAAGTGGTATACAGTATAGTTTTGACCTTCTTTGGGAGCTTAATATCAAGATAAATTATGCTATGGGAGACTAAGGCTATGATCTCTGGTCAGGGTTGCAGTGAGATTTTAAAATTCCAACCAGAAATACTTAGCAGGCTTAGAATGTTCTGTAACCTTGCTCACATTTTTGCCAGCTCTAGGAGCCATGTACTGAACAGCAGAAACAAAAGATGTAAATTGTAGCTATGTTTAGGTCATGTGTAGAGGCTTAAACTCAACCTGAGTGTCCTCTGGCCTACCTGGAACACCTCTTGCAGGTATATGAGTAATTTCAAAGCTCTAGGTCCCAAGGTCATGTTGAAAAAAAAAAAAAAAAAACAGGTTCTGGTGCAGGAGTACTGACCCAAGAGTCCAATTCTGGTGTTTTAAAGTGTATTGCCCCATACACTTTGAGTTCATTTCAAGGTTATAAAAACCTCAAACAAAAGGGCTGACTGGTTAAAGGTCCTCTCTGCCATTTAAAACACTCATTTTCAAAGTATTTATAAGAAATCACCTAGAACTTTCCCCGGTAGATGTGCATTTTTGGTTTTGTTTTGTTTTCAGTGGGTCCATAGGCATACTTTTGCTAGACTGTGATAACAGCTCTTCAAGTTGGCAATCACTTGCCGGACAGCCACCGAGGGGCAGTCATGGCGAACATCTGTCAAGGTGAAAGAGTGGGTTTGCAGGTAGATTCAAAGGGAATTCCCTCGTGTTATAAACCAGTCCTGTCAATGGCATGGTCTTTGCACTTTGGAGTGCTCTTATCCTTCTTCCTTAGGGAAAGTCTTATCCTTCTGACACTTAGAGTGCACCGGCCACCAGTGCATGCACAGATGGCATTGGTTCTAGCCTTTGTCTGAACCCTGGGGAAAGGAAGCAATCAGAGATCCTAAGAACAACCTAATCTCTGTTAGAATCAAGGCACTGATATAAACGTGCTCTAAGAAAAGATAGGGAAGCCGTGTGGTCTAGCAGTGAAATACATAGACTGGAAAACCAAATTACCTGCTCTGCTGCTTACTAGTGGTGTGACCATGAACAAATACATTCTCGTCTCAGTCCCCTCATCTGTAAGAGGGAGGAAAGCCTATGAATGTATATAAAGGCTTTTGAAGGGCATCTGGCACCTCTAAGTCCTCTCACTCTATTCAGTGACTGACTGAAGACCTCATGTCTAAAATGAAGTGTCAGGGGACAAGACACCATTTCCCTGCCCCTGCTTTTCTTTTCTCTGCCTGGGCCAAGCTCTTTCCAGTTTCTTCCACTGATGATAGAAAGGGAGGGGCTGAAGCCAACTGATGGAGCAGTAGTTTAGGCAGCTAGATCTCACATGGCCAACTGTGCAGTTTGAGTCCTGGACCTTACCGCTTGGAAAATGCACCAGGCACGTGCACCTCTGCCCAAAATCCTGAAAGGAGCTCAGAGGAGAGGGAACTGTTGCGTGGCCATCCCCCTTGCGGGGGAGGGGTGTTTTCTCACTCTTCCTGTGTTTCTCCCTCTTTCTGTCTATCTCTGGGGAGTGTACACACCCAACAGCAAATTTTTTAAAAATAAAAAAAAGGGAGGAACTACAAAGCTGGGCTACTGCCAAGACAGGAGGGGCAGTGTCATAGCACATGGCGTGTGATTGAGCTCACTGGCCTGACCTGGACCCTGACTGCCACAAGATGTTTGGTGAATTACTGCCACCGAGCCTGGGAGCCCAAGGATCCCTTACCCTCAGTGGGGACAGAACCAGACAGTCTTTTGCACCTTGTGGAACACAAAGCCAGGCACTGTGGCTCTGGGGTTTTCTTGGGGAGATTTGCATTTCTCATTAACTCTATGGGTGGAGTTGAACTGTTGAGAGTGAGGAAAACTAACCCACCAGCCCTTCCAGACTTGCGGAAGTCCAGACAAAAGGAGGACAGAATACTGCTTAAGTACTTTGTGAGCTCAGAGGGACTTGCAGTCAAGGAAATGCATGTAAGATCACCGTTCAATGTGCATGAGGTAAGCATCCTGGAAATGGTCCACTTGGAGGAAGGGGACTAGAGTTGGTGTGGGGACATTGTGGAGCCAGGCCAGGAACACAGGCAGTCTCGGAGGCCATCATTAGGACCTGGGTGGGAACAGGGAGAGGATTTCCAGGAAAGAGAAGGTAGGAGACTTCAGGTAAAGGAGAACCACCTCATCACTACACATCATGGCTTTTCTGATGACCCAGTACAAAGGGACTTCAAATGTTTGTAGAAAAATAGAATTATAAAGTATGGGTTAATTTTGATGCAAATAACTTTGCAATCCAAGCCTAGTTTTTTCATAATACATTTTCCATTTATTTTTGAAGACCCCTCATAATATCGTCTATCCAGTTGAATGCTTGCTATGTGTTGGGTCCTGTTTCAGGTGCTATGTGTGTATTATTTCATGTGATACTCCCAGTAAACCTCTGATGAGGTGCTTTTACCTCATTTTACAGGAGAAGAAACAGACCCTGAGAACAAAGCAACAGTTAAACTAAAGAAGGACAACAAACTTCAAGATTAAGTGCTTTTCTGGGGCCAGCAGGGAGCATGGCGGTTAAGGTGCTAGACTCCCATGTGATCAAACATGGTTCAGATCTCAGACCCAGCTGCTTGAAAATCACACAGGGCATGTGTTCATGCATGCCCGAAATCCCAACAGGAGACTGGAGGAGAAGGGATTGTGGCATGACCATTCCCCCCCTCCCCCCTGGGGGGGCGTGATTTCTCACTTTTCTACTCTCTATGTCTCTCTATGTCTCCCCACTGAATACATGTGCCATATTACAAAAAATGTTTTTTTTTTTAAAAATTAAGTGCTTTCCCTCTGCATGCCTGTAAGTGCAGAGACAAGTTTGCTAGTCATAAGTGTTAACTCTTATTTACACTTAAGTTAACACATTTACTTCCCTTTTTTCTTCCTTATTGTTATTAACTGTTGCTTTCACAGCCTGTATTTTAAGCCCCTTCAAACCCTATTGGAATAGAAAAGGGAATTTTGGGGAACCTGGTCTCCAGGATTGGTCCCAGTTTCCTTAGAGTTGGAAAAGGCAGGAAACCAGAGCATGTGTTCCTGCCGGAAATAAAGAAGATACAGTGGCCTGACCCCATCTCAGAGTTACTGAAAACTCCATTCTCTTGAGACCTTCAAGAAAGGAAAGCTATCGGGACCAGCAGTTAGCGTAATGGCTATGTCGCTGGACTGCCACGTAGTTGACCGCCGTTCGGGTCCCGGACCCGGTGGCTTAAACTCACGCCGGGCGCGTGTGCATGCGTGCCCAAGATCCCGAGAGGAGAATGGAGGAGAAGGGGTTGCGGCGTGGCCATCCCCCCTGGGGGGTGATTTCCTGCTTTCTGTCTCTCTGTCTCTCTCTGTCTGTCTGGCGAGCGCACGCGCCCTATAGCAAAAACCTCTCAAAAAAAAAAAAAAAGAAAGGAAAGCTATCTTATAGGGCAAAACCCCACCTATAGTTAACCCC